ATTGGTGTTCAGTGACTTATGGGGACCATCACCCTTCAAATCTACTCTTGGGAATAACTACTATATATCATTTGTTGATGCCTGCACACGGTATACTTGGATTTATCCACTTAAACAAAAATCTGATGCTATTTCCATTTTTAAACAGTTCCATGCAATGATTAAAAACCAATTTCAAACTTCCCTTAAGTCATTTCAATCCGATTGGGGTGGGGAATTCAAAACTTTTACCCAATATCTAACACTTCACGGGATCCATCATAGAGTCACTTGTCCTCATACTCATCACCAAAATGGTGTTGTTGAAAGAAAGCATAGGCATATTGTTGAAACAGGTCTTGCATTACTTGCACACTCTTCCCTTCCCATGATCTATTAGGACTATGCATTTACCACAGCCACATATCTCATAAACATATTTCCCTCTTCTTCTATTGATTTTACTGTTCCATACACTAAACTGTTCAATAAAAATCCAGATTATACCTCCCTAAAAGTTTTTGGGTGTACATGTTTTCCTTTGCTTCGACCTTATAATAATTATAAACTGGAATATCGATCAAAGGAATGTGTGTTTCTTGGTTATTCTTCCAACCATAAAGGTTACTTGTGTCTTAGTCCTGATGGCAGAATTTACATATCCAAGGATGTACTCTTCAATGAACATAGATTTCCTTTTACCTCTTGGAAAAACAATACATCCTCTCCCACTTTACAACCCACCTCTACCTCTGTTCCCCTTACTATTCTTTCCCCACATTTATCCTCTCCACCAAATGCCCCATTTCTGCCTCAGCCCTCTTCCCCATTACCCATACAGTCACTGCACACCAATGATCCTCCTCCCTCAAGTCAGCATACACCCCTTTCTCCTATTATTGGAGATCAATCCCCTGTTAGACAGCCTGTTGATGTCAGTCCAATTCCTTCTCCATCCTCTCCAGTTCACACTTCATCTTTATCTTCCACATCCTCATCTTCTGAGTATGTACCATCAGGTTCCCTTCACACCTCTTCTCCTCCTCGTTCTATTATTACCAGGTCCAAAACTATGGCTAGAAATTTGGCTCTTCTCACTCATCTTGAACCAACTACAGTCAAACAGGCTCTCAATAGTCCTCATTGGTTAAAGGCTATGGAAATTGAATATGATGCTTTACAATCTAACAAAACTTGGTCTCTTGTTCCTTTACCTGTTGGCAGAGAAGCTGTTGGATGCAAATGGGTTTTTAAAGTAAAGGAAAATTTAGATGGCAGCCTTAACAAATATAAAGCAAGGTTGGTTGCTAAAGGGTTTCATCAAAGACCTGGTTTGGATTATACAGAAACTTTTCCCCCTGTCATCAAGCCTGTAACTGTTGGGACTATGCTTACAATTGCTCTTACCTATGGCTGGACACTAAGACAGCTAGACATCAACAATGCTTTCTTAAATGGAACTCTACAAGAAGAGGTGTACATGCAACAACCTCCTGGGTTTGAAAGTGATGACAAGTCCTTAGTCTGCAGACTACATAAATCCCTCTATGGTCTCAAACAAGCCCCAAGGGCTTGGTTTGACAAACTCCAGGATACTTTGCTCTCATTTGGTTTTCAAGGCAGTAGATGTGATTCTTCTCTCTTCATTTATTATTCCGGTCCTCAACGCATTTATATGCTTGTTTATGTTGATGATATAATCATCACTGGGAATGATGACAACTTCATACAGTCCCTAATTTCTCGGCTTCATTCCATTTTCTCTCAAGGATTTGGGTGCCCTGGACTACTTTTTGGGAATTGAAGTCAGAAGACAGTCCCCTGGATCTCTCTTCCTTACTCAAACAAAATACATTAGAGAGCTTCTTCACAAAACTAATATGTTTGAAGCTAAGGCTATCTCCAGCCCCATGCCCTCTAGCTGCAAATTATCCAAGTTTGGCTCCAATTACTTTGAGGATCCTGGCTTATATCGATCAGTGGTTGGAGCTCTCCAATATGCTACCATTACAAGACCTGAAATCAGTTTCTCAGTTAATAAAGTGTGCCAGTTCATGAGCCAACCTCTTGTGGATCATTGGAAAATAGTCAAAAGAATTCTCAGATATCTCCAAGGTACTATATGCTTTGGTCTCTCTTTGACTGCAGCTCAAACACCTCACTCGGATGCTCTATTTCACTTGGCAGCCTTTTGTGATGCTGATTGGGGTAGTGATCCTGATGATAGGAGGTCTACCTCTGGTGCTTGTGTATTCCTAGGTCCAAATCTCATCTCTTGGTGGTCTAAGAAGCAGCCTCTTGTAGCAAGATCCACGGCTGAAGCTGAATATCGCAGCATGGCTTTAGTTTTCTCTGAAATTCTGTGGCTGCAATCATTATTCCAAGAATTGAATCTGCCTATTTCTGTTCCTCAGGTTTACTGTGACAACTTGAGTGCTGTAGCACTTGCTCATAATCCCATTCTTCATGCTCGCACCAAGCATCTTGAGTTGGATCTTGATTTTGTACGTGAGAAGGTTTTACTCAAACAGATCTCTGTTGCTCATGTCCCTGCTTCAGACCAGATAGCTGACATTTTTACTAAGCCACTCTCTCCAGATCCCTTTGCTCTTTTTCGTGCCAAACTCACAGTCCTGGATTCTGCCTTGCAGCTCCAGCCCTGATGAGTTTGTGGGGGAGTATTAGCATAGCTTCCTGCTATAGGTTTCATTGTATTAGACTCTAGCTTATATAAATGTGTTAGTGTATTTCTGAGTTAGTTAGAGTGACAGCTGTAAGCTAAGTGTGTGACAGCTGTAAGCTTCAATGCTGAGTCATCAGTTTGTATTTTGTATATATATCATCTTGTATCTGAAATGTATCGTCACTTTTCATTCTTCAATAATACAAATGGGTTCTTTTCAGATTGCTCTCTTCTCTCTCTCTCTTTCTCTCAGATCTTCTTCTCTCTTCTCCATGCAACTCTCAGATTTCTAATATTTCCTTATTTTTAGGAATTTTAAAGCTGATTAGTTTGTAATTAGCAATCCTTATTTTTATCTTTAGAAACTTTACTTGTTTTTAGGAGACAAATATCGTTATCTTTATCTTTGCTTTTAATAGGATTTGAATCTTGTTAGGATATTTTCTTATTTTTTAGTAGATTTATTTCTGATTTAGTTTGTATTAGGATTTAATTTTTGAATTTGGATTGTGAAAAACCTATTTAAAGGCGAATTATCAATGAGATTGGGGACAAGCATTTTATTCATAATTTTGAGAGCTTTTCTCTTTGATTTCTTAAAGAATTATCGATCTTATCAAAATTTTTCTGTGGCGTTCACCCTTCGACTTATCAAACGAATTTCATCCACCGTTTGTGGCTTCTTCGACGAATTGCGGGCTTTCAACCTTAAACCTGAACATAGAAACGGTCTTCGGCGAAGATACTTATTCGTTAACAGATCTCGTCGTTCTCGCCTTCTCGGCGAGGTTCACATCATTTGGTATCAAGAGCCTTAGTTTTATTCTCAAGTTTTTCTATCCTTTACTTTCTATTACTCTTTGATACCAAATGATGCGAACGTCCCCGAGAACAACGAGATTAGTTAACGAATAAGGATTCGAGGACCGTTTCTATGTTCATGTTTAAGGTGGAAAGATCGCGGTTCGTCGAAGACGCCACAAACTATGGTGGAAATCCGTTTGATAAGTTGAAGGGTGAATGCGACGGAAGAATTCTAATAAGTTCGATAATTCTTTATGAAACCTATGAGAAAAACTCTCAAAATTATGAATAAAATGCTTGTTCTCATTCTCATTGAGTTCGCCTTTAAATAGGCTTTTTACAATCCAAATTCAAAAATAAAATCCTAATGCAAACTAAATCAGAAATAAATTTACTAAAATAAGTAAATATCCTAACAAGATTCAAATCCTATTACAGGCAAAGATAAAGCTAATGATATCTTTTTCCTAAAAATAAGGAAAGTTTCTAAAGATAAAAATAATGATCACTGGTTACATTTTAATCAGCATTAAAACTCCTAAAATTAAGGAAGCAATTATATTTAAATAAATGTAATAATTTAAGAAAGATTGTGATGGAGAACTTGGCAACCAATCAAATTCGAAAATCTTCCGAAATATGCCAATTATTATGAAGTCAAATCTCTTGAAAATGTGGGCCAAGCTGAATGTGATTTAAACCAGATTTCATGAATCTGCCCATTGAGTGTTTCATTGAATTCTTTTTTTTCAGATCCCAAATTTCACCAAATCAGACTTGGACGGCACCCGTTAACACTGTTCCTAAATTGACATCAAGAAAACCCCAAGCTTTACTCAGCTCAAACACCCTTCAAATCTCAAAATCCCAAGAATTCTTCAAACTTTGGAGAGATAATATCTTTCTCTCTAAAGCTTCTTACAAGGATATGTTTGGTGGGTTTTGCTTTAGGTGAGATTCTAAGCACTTTTCATGTTGGAACTTTTTGGTTTCATCCACTAGAACTCAAACTAGGTTTCAAGCTTTTCTTCACTCTTCCAACATTGGTGTTCTCGGTTGAGGGAGATGAAAGTGTCTTGGTGACTTGCTTTTCTTCACTATGTTTTTGTGCTTAATGACTTGCTTAATATCACTTAAACTTGGGTTGACTAAGTCAACACTTATGGTGTGGTCTATTACTCGTTTGACCTTTCTTTTAATCTAATTCTAGCCAATTCACTTACCATTTCTAGACATGTGTTTTAATCTCATATTCATCATAAAAATAGTTTCTCTATACACTATTTTCAAGTTTCGGGTAACTTTTGCCTATTTGCTTTTTTACCCAAAAATATTCTGTAAATGCACTTTTATCTGAAAAGTTTCTTAAATTGTAAAATTAGATTCTGTATCTAATTCATCTCATCTACTCATGGTAAAATTCCTAATTACTCATTATACTGGTTTGGGTTATTATACCTCCCTCCACATTTTATATTTTAAATAGTTTTATTACTGTTTTATCTATTTATTTATTTACTTACTTTTTGAGTAGGAAGCAGTTCGTAGGGCTACCATAGCACAGAAATTTATACCAGTATTCATGGGTAGTGCTTTCAAAAATAAGGTAAGCATTGAACATCCTTCAGTTCGTATATGTATTTTGTGCTGCATAGTCATTAGTACTACCTTCTTTATTCCTCCCCATTATCTGGTTAATGCATAGTATTCTTTTTGTTTTTAGTTTTAACTAAATGTTCCGATTATGATGTAATTTAGTTTGGGTCTTCCAAAGATTTTATTTTTGAAATTAAATTCATTTGTAGCATTGTTGTCTGCAACCTTCCTGAGATACACACAACTATCATAATGACTACGAATACGCATCAATGATCACTTATATGTCATGCCACAGTTCAGGCTTTCTGGGTCTGTTCACATGTTGGGCAAGCCCTAATTTAAATACAATTTACTTTAGAACCTCAAACAATAAATAATAAAAGAAAGAAATATATCATTCTGATAAAATCTACTTAGAATACCGCTGTTTTTGAAGTTAGCTATTATATAAGCTTCTACATTCCTTTACTGTGGTTATGTAGTGGAAATATTTAATATGTCTGTTTCTGCTTTTTCCCCCCTCTTCGATCTATCTAAAGCTGGCAACTTTTGCTGTATTAAGGCTGTTACAGAAAATTTCTAATGGATTGTTGTTTGTTTGAATTTATTAATTTTTCCTTTTTAGTATTTATCTCTTCTAGCTTGATATGTGATATTTGAACTGGGTCGGCCCTATCTCTTCTAGCTTGAGTGTGATATTGTTTGTATTGTCCTCTTGATATGAGACATAATATTCTTTATGCTTTCTTAAAATGCCTCTTGATACTAGTTGTGATTTTCATAATCAATTCATCTCTAGCATGCTTTCCTTGCTCTCCAGTCCCAAGTCTCAACCCCCCAAAATATTCTCTAGTATGTATTCTTATACACACAGGCATGCCTAAACACAATGTAATTTATCCAAATGATCCAAACTTGAACATTCTAGTTTTTCATGCATACTCATCACTTTTGTTTATGTCATTATCTTCTGTCTCATAAATTTTCATCTTCTGTAACTGGTACAGGGTGTGCAGCCACTTCTGGATGGTGTAATTAATTATTTACCATGTCCAATTGAAGTTTGTAATTACGCCCTTGACCAAACTAAGAATGAAGAGAAGGTACCTGATCCGTAGAAAGTTTATCCTTGTTTTGCTTTAATAGTATATCATGATTATCATAAATTGCAAATTTTGTTTTGGATTTGAAGGCCAAATTTTAAAATAAATGAATCATAAGATTCACTTTTAAAATGATAAAATTTGCTTTGAATGTGTGTTCTACATCATAAAACATAACTCTCATCGTTCTTAAAGTGAAAAATATCAATATCAGACTTAATAATGCATGTATAGTAACATTGTAAGTCACTAACCAGAAAAGAAAATGATACTCTAAAATTGAAATTAGCATAGTCAAGACTAAAATCATGGTAATAGTCAAATTTCTTTAAAATTTGAAAATATAAATCACTACTTATTAAAAGAAACATTAAATTACAAAAGTTTAGGTCCCTCTCTTCTTGCTAATAAACTTATTGTTTAATTAAAAAATGTAAATGTGTATGATTTCAAGATAGAGTTGAGAAATCAAAGATACGGTAAAAAGTAAATTTTGCATTCAGGTTGTGCAGAACCCCACCTTGGTTTGATGCGATTTGACTGAATTTTCCAGAAACAGGAATTGCTGTAATGAATTTAACTGATTACGGCAATTATCTGAGATTGATTCATGCAATCTCATGATCTGGAGAGATTATATTCATAATGAATTGTGATATGCATGTTTAAGATAGCCATGGTTGCTATACTATTCTTTAATCCAAACAAAAATATATTATTGGGTTACTCTAATAGTCTATGCTTGTCTAGGTTGAGTTGCGTGGAAGTCCTGATGGGCCACTTGTGGCATTGGCTTTCAAGTTGGAGGAAGGGCGATTTGGTCAGTTAACATATCTAAGGTACCTCTCACCTTAGAAGTCGGTTATTTCCATTTTAAACTGTCTAATTTGTCTTTTATATATATTGATCTTCTGTTTTGAATGTGTTAAGCTTTCAATACATGACACATAAGCTAATGGATACTTATATATTTTTTGGGTGAAGAATCTACGAGGGTGTCATTCGGAAGGGTGATTTTATTATTAATGTAAACACCGGAAAGAAGATCAAGGTAAGTTTAAGGCTCTTAACTGTGCTATTTTGATTACATTAGACTTCTTCATCTGGGTATTTATACAAGATACTAATAACTCCATTCATTCATTTGGATCTCTCCTCTTTCTCTTGAACTTTTTTGTTTTCTGAAGAGAGGAAACAATATATGCATCTCTATGAGGTGATCCATTAAAAATAAACAGTACAACAAAGAGTGGTATTGGTTTTAGTTTTTTATTGCTCAATATGAGGCAATAAAAGATTGAATGTAGTATTATTCACTAGTCAGAGTCAGATCTATGGCATGTTTGAGACAATAAATGAATTTGTGGCTGAAGCCTTTCTTTTGTGAATACAGGTTCCTCGCTTGGTTCGGATGCATTCGAATGAGATGGAGGTTAGTTTTTAGACTTTCATTATGATTAGTGGATCTTCCTATTGAATTGAGCTTCCTATTGAATTGAGTTAAATGTAAAAGAATACGTTGTGTATTGATCTGTGTCAGGGAGTTACAATATATAGAGACCCTAATGGGCTTAAGTGTAAGGCCCAAACCTAATCCAAACCTAATCCTAATACAGTCAGAATACAGTCAGACTATTTACGGATAAGACAGAATCCAATCATATCTAATCAAATCTAATCATATCATATCTAATATTCTAACACTCCCCCTCAAGCTGGTGCGTATATATTATGAGCACCAAGCTTGTTACAAATGTATTCAACCCGAGGACCTCTAAGAGCTTTAGTGAAAACATCTGCTAGTTGATTAGACGAGTTGACAAAAGCTGTCTTGATTTCTCCTGACTGAATCTTTTCCCGAATGAAGTGACATTCAATCTCTATATGTTTGGTCCTCTCATGAAAAACAGGATTAGAGGATATATGTAGCGCAGCTTGATTATCACAGATGAGTGTCATGGGTTGTTTCTGTTCACAAAGATGAAGCTCCTGAATCAACTGCTTTAACCAGATCAACTCACAGGTAGTATTTGCCATTGCACGATACTCAACTTCTGCACTAGATCGGGAAACAACAGGTTGTTTCTTACTTTTCCATGAGATTAAGTTTCCTCCGAAGAAGACACAATAACCAGAAGTAGAGCGTCTGTCCGAGGGTGATCCTGCCCAATCGGCATCTGAGTAACCACAAATTTCTGTATTTCCCTGATCCGAATACAACAAACCTTTTCCTGGTGCTCCTTTGATGTATCGGAGGATCCTCACAGCAGCATCCCAATGTGAATCACAAGGGGAATCAAGGAATTGACTGGCCGTACTGACAGTGAAAGAAATATCTGGCCTAGTCACAGTAAGATAATTGAGCTTCCCAATTAGCCTCCGATAACGTCCAGGATCAGATAACGGCTCCCCCTGTCCGGGTAATAACTTGACATTAGGATCCATAGGTGTATCAACTGGTTTACTCCCCATCATACCAGTTTCTTCTAGGATATCCAAGGCATATTTCCTTTGACAGATAGAAATGCCCTGTCTTGATTGCGCCAACTCAATTCCCAAGAAGTAACGCAGCTTCCCAAGGTCCTTTGTTTGAAATGTACTAAACAAATGCTGTTTTAACTGACGAATTCCGTCTTGATCACTTCCGGTGAGAATGATGTCGTCAACATAGACTAACAAATAGATACACTTATCAGGAGATGTAATCCTATAAAACACAGAATGGTCAACTTTACTGCGGATTAAGCCAAACGCCTGAACAGCAGAACTGAAGCGACTGAACCATGCTCGAGGAGACTGCTTGAGACCATATATGGATTTCCGAAGACGACACACCTTTCCAGACTCCCCCTGAGCAACAAAACCAGGTGGTTGCTCCATCTAAACTTCTTCTTGTAAATCACCATGAAGAAAGGCATTTTTGATGTCAAGTTGAAGGAGTGGCCAGTGACGAACAGCAGCAAGGGCAAGAAAGAGGCGGACTGACGCCATCTTAGCGACCGGAGAAAATGTATCGCTATAATCAAGGCCAAAGATTTGAGTAAAACCCTTGGCAACTAAACGTGCCTTGAGACGATCAATATGGCCATCAGGTCCAACTTTCACAGTAAAAACCCAGCGACAACCAACTATAGACTTCTCTGGAGGAGCAGAAACAAGGTCCCAAGTGCCATTGGAATGAAGTGCAGTCATCTCATCAAGCATTGCTTGGCGCCACCCTGGATGGGAAAGTGCTTCACCTGTGGTCTTAGGAATAGAAATAGAAGAAAGACTAGAAACAAAGGTGAAATGAGGTGAAGAAAGACGGTCATAACTCAAAAAGGTATAAAGAGGATAAGGGTTACGAGTAGTACGTGTACCTTTTCTTTGAGAAATGGGAAGAGTCTCTGATGAAGGATCCGGAGGGGAAGAAGCAATAGCAGTGGGCGATGAGTCAGCAAGAGTCGAGTCGACAGGAGGCACAGTTTTGCGACGCTGATAGGTGAGAAGTGGACGGTCCTCAGGTATAGAAGCAATAGGTTGCTCATCTGGAATAGAAGCACCTGCAGCTGGCAAAGACAAGTCAAGAAAAGGGACAGGAAGTACATGATCAACATGTGACATCTGAGATGTGATAGAATTAAAGGGTTGGTGATCAAGAAAAGTGACATCAGCGGAAACTAAGTAACGCTTAAGGTCGGGAGAATAACAACGATAACCCTTTTGAAGACGAGAATAACCAAGAAAGATACATTGAAAGGCTTTGGATGTTAACTTATCCTTACCAGGATTGAGATCATGAACAAAACAAGTACAACCAAAGACATGTGGAGTTAGAGGATAAAGAGGAACATCTGGAAGCAATAGATTATGAGGAATGTCATTGTGGAGCACAGATGAAGGCATGCGATTGATGAGAAAACAAGAGATGAGTACAGCATCTGCCCAGAAGTGAAGAGGAACCTGCATATGAATAAGAAGGGTACGAGCAGTTTCAATGAGATGTCTGTTTTTACGTTCAGCCACCCCATTTTGTTGTGGAGTGTGAGGACAAGTAGTTTGATGTAAAGTACCTTGTGTGGCCAAGAAATTAGAAAAATCAATAGAAACATATTCCTTAGCATTATCACTACGTAGAATACGAATAGAAACACCAAATTGAGTATGGATCTCAGTAGAAAACTTTTTATAAATGGAAAATAACTCAGAATGATTTTTCATTAAATAGGTCCAAGTGCAACGGGAAAAATCATCAATAAAGGTAACGAAATACCGAAAACCTAAGACAGACAAGGTACGACTTGGACCCCAGATATCTGAATGAACAAGAGAGAAAGGGGCATCAGCTCGTTTATTGACTCGACTGGCAAAAGAGGAGCGTGTATGCTTCCCTTGTTGACATGACACACAATCTAAAGACTGAAGACCGGACAAAAGAGGAACCATTTTCTGCAACTTTGAAAGACTTGGATGACCAAGGCGACTGTGGATAAGTTGTGGAGATTCTGTGAGAGAGCATGCTACTGAAGGACGAGGCACATCCAGATAATAAAGCCCCCGTGACTCACGACCCACTCCAATCATTTTCCCCGTACCCGGATCCTGCACAGAAACAGAATGGTTAGAGAAAGTAATGGTGCAAGTGAGGGATTGGATCAACTTACTAATAGAAATTAAGTTATAAGGGATGCCAGGAATGTAATAGACAGATGTCAGGGCCAAGGTAGAGGTCGGACGAGCTTGTCCAATCCCACGAACTGGGGCTTTGGTTCCATCCGCAAGGGTCAAAGACGGTAAATGATCAGAATAAGTAAGAGATGTAAAGAGTTCCTTATTACCACAGAGATGATCGGTAGCACCGGAGTCAAATATCCAAGTGCCAAGTGATGTAGAATGAGAAACACAAGCAACGGGATTACCAGTATAAGGCTGAGACTGAGGAGAAGCCTTCCTGAGAGGGGTTTGGAGTGCAGCACAGTTCGAACCTGAACCAAATGATGCTTTGTCTGACTGAGCTATATTTGCAACAATAGAAGGAGAGTTAACCTCCGAGAGATCAGGAGATGTTGCTGCCATTTAAAGATAAAATATAAAAGCCGTAAACGAAGGCAAACGATATCCAATCAAGAAGAACCACGCGTCTAAGGTCAGACCCACAGAGAAACAATCACAGATCCAGAAAGGGGAGGAGAAGGCGAGCTTCTCTGTCCAAGGCCGGCCGGAAAAAGCCGCCGGAATAGTGCTCACGAGCCGGCAGAAGGTGGCGCGTGAAGCCCACGCGCAGTGAAGACAGGTGGCGCGTGACGGCGCGTGGGATATGCGGTGCTGACCGGACCACCACAGACCTGGTCGCCGGGAAGAGAGGGTCCTGATCGCGTGAAGTTTGGTCGGAAAAGTCGCCGGAAAAAGTCTCCGGTTGCCTGAACAGTGATTCTGACGGCGGGCGGTGGTTCCGGTGGCCGTCGGAGGTGCTGACGCGTTTGGAAAAATCACTCAGAGGCTGTTTACAGCCCTAGAAGGCTTGCCGGAAGGACGCACGGCAAGAAAGAGGACTCCTAAGCAGTGGGCTTAGGTTTTTAAAGCAAAAAACAAGGTTTCTAAGCGGAAGCGAGGGTTCCTAGAACGAAAGAGCTCTGATACCAAGTTAAATGTAAAAGAATACGTTGTGTATTGATCTGTGTCAGGGAGTTACAATATATAGAGACCCTAATGGGCTTAAGTGTAAGGCCCAAACCTAATCCTAATACAGTCAGAATACAGTCAGACTATTTACGGATAAGACAGAATCCAATCATATCTAATCAAATCTAATCATATCATATCTAATATTCTAACAAATTGAATGCCTATGGAAACGTATTTTTTTTTTTTTTTGGCGGGAGTAAGTGTTATTGTTGGGTAGGTTATAACCTATGATTTATATTGATGAAGAGTGTTAGAGAAGTATAAAAGCTATTAATGTAGCATCACCTAACAGCTTAAACTGTTGGGTTGAATTGGTTTTTTACATAGTATCAGAGAGCCTTGGTGTCACGGGTTTGATCCTCACCTCCCCTCATTCAGTTAATAATTAATTAAGTCTTTTGGAGTTTCTTAGCATAGGTAGGTGAGCCAATGCATTGTCCACCCTTCAAGCCCAGCGAGTTCTTGTGTGAGGGGACGTGTTAGAGAAGTATGAAAATCATTAATGTAATCTGATACAGCCCAACCCACTAAAGTATACAAAAGAGATAAAAATAGAGGAGTTTGGGCCTCTACTGTGGCCTCTGCTGTTGCTGCCTCTGCTGACTCAGTAACAAATGTCCATTCTACCCCCCAACAGAATGTAGAGCTGGCAACAATCCGTTAAGAAGGGAAGCATGGTGCTGTAGTGGGTGTCGAGTAGCATTTTCGGGACTCGAATCTTGGGAGAGTGTGGAGTCTCTCGAATTACTCCTCATTATCATTTCTTTA